ACGCAAAGAACCCAGCAATTCTCAGCTTTTTCTTTATTACCGAAAGAACCCAGTTAAATGCAGCGCATGCGCAGTTGCTCGAAAAATTGAGACTGATTGGTTTTGCAGAAACTTGCCAATTTCTGACGATGTAGTTGTTAGAATTTCAAGAAATTTGGCAAAAAAATAGTCCAGAAACCACATGAATGATCTATTGCAAAAAATCTGAATTTTGACATTTATAATACAGAACATGCGGTGAAAACGATTTACGGCGAATTACGAAAATCACCTATGTCAAAATTTTATTAGAACAGTGTTGATAGAAGGGATTTAATGTCAATTCGTAGTGGGCAAAAGCTGAAAAAAATCTAACGACTGGATTTTTTTAAAATAAACAAAAACCTTTTTTTAAGCCTTGTTTTTAATCAATCCCGTAGCCATGGCAACAGCACACACCTTAGCCAAAATGCGATAATAAACTTTTCTGTGGTTAACCTCAACTCTTGCAAAAAATGGGTGCCAAAGCATAAATAGCTTAAAAGTAATGGTGAATTAGGTATAGGCTCTTGAAAACTGTGTTCGGCCACCTTAAGTTTAGTTACCTGTAGACAAAGTTTAATATACAAACTAGCAATTATTTAGTACATGTGTGAAAACTGAGTGCAATTTAATTAAGTAATGTACATATCTATCTCTTGTTTGTTTTACCCTACAAGAAGTGACAATCATTAGTAATTGCATTGTTCATTTATCAGTGACAAGGGGTGACAACTGTAGTAGACACTGACAATGCCTCTTTTTTCCTAGTCTGAAGCATGACAAAAAACAAAAGTGCGAGAGCCTTTGTGAAAAACTACACACTTCTGTTTTGATTTTTTGTCAAAACACTTGCTATTTGAGTACTCTTGACACAATGTCACTCATACTATTGGCAGATAAAACAAAGGTGTAGATGTAACTTATCATATGACAAAGAGACTCTTATTGTTTTTCATAATCATCCCATAATTGCCAACTAGATAAGCATATTGGTTCCTCAAGGGGAAAAGGACAGGGGTGCTTATCATACCTTTTAGGGGCTAAAAAGGCGGTTTTGATACCTGTTTGGGTGTTCAGCCTCAAAAGGTCCACAGCAGGGCTTTTGCAGTACCTTTACGTGGTAGTAAGCTGAAAAAATTATGACAGGATATAATGTGTTGTCTTAGAACTGGTACTTTTAAGGGGTGAAAAAAATTTCAGGTAACACCCACAAAACAGAAAATTTCCGACTGGTCCNCCCCCCCCCGCCCAAATCCCCAGGACAGGTTCATACAGGCTCAGTCCTACTCTATCATCTTGTGTCTAGCTAAACAACATATTTTTCTCATGGGTCGTCCTTATCACTGAAGCAAAATTGAACTTGGATCACTTTCTTTGGCATGTCTCCTCAAAGAAGTTGAAAGATGTTTAATCAGCATGTACACGCATTTCTTTATGCACCAGCAATCCCCAAAAGGGGCTGACTGTATATACCAGTGTTGTACTTTGACCACTTGGCTCAACCAGATCCTTCCTTTCATTGGCCCATTTAAAAATAGATCCCTCTAGATTGTAAACATCCATTCGTGACTTCAATTCCTCATTTTCAGGTTTCTGAAGCTCTTCTATCAACCGGTTAGCCATGATGCTTGCTCGATAACCAACAGCACAATAGCACACTACTGATTTTGGTTCATGTGGAGGCCCAACTAAAACGAGAAAAAAAAATTGGTGTTTCATTAAATATTAAGAAGCTCTTTAACCCTTTCACTGTGATATTTATCATCCAGCAATCCGTTATCAGAGAACTTGTTCATATATGGGACAAGATACAAGAGCAGAAGTATCTTGTGCACGCATTTCATGCCAATGCTCATAGGCATGTAATGCGTGCAAACGGACACAACGTTTCAAATTTCGCCAACGAAGCAGTTAACTATGACGACCTTTATCTTTTGTAACCATCATAAATGCAAGCTACTAATCACTTTCAGGTTAGCACCGATTTTCCCATCTTTTTGAACAAAAAATTGCTTAATAAACAAACCAGTTTTTGCATTTAGTAATATATATCATAATAGCTGTTATTGCAGTTATCAGCGGCTTGACACACAAACGAGGCGAAAGGGTCAATTCTGCATTGTATTGACCCTTTCGCCTCGTNCAAGTACAAGGTGATCCGTAGAAAATCCTCGTGACCATTCCAATAGAAGGAAAGCTATTAAATAGTACAATGGTGCCAGCTTGTACTGTTTTGATTTTAAACTGAAGGTATATCTTTGAGAGTGACTAATAGTTTTTTTAAATACGAAACCCCATGAATTAATAATAACCACGAAATAACTAGGATGGTTACGAGTTAGAAAAAGGAAACACGGATTACGGACAACGAACTTGAAAACAATGGCCGTGTATGTCAAGATACACCATACTCATAAGTCCTCATAGTCTGGGCCTACGCAGCCGTTCTTGGGATAGTCTGCTGGCAGCCGGTGTTTTCTCTAAGGGTCGTTAGGAGGAGTGTTTAGTTATCGCGAACGAAAAAGGGCAGTATGGCGGTGGCCGAGTGGGGAAGAAGGCGGGACTAGGTATTTCGTGGTTATTATTACCGTGGAAGTGCGATAACCAATCAACGCGAAGATCCCCTTTAGCCAAAACGTCTCGCCTCAGAGCCCCTACTGAATTTCGAGAGAAAAACAGACTACCAGCAGTCTATTCTTGGGAGGTAACCCAAGGCTCTTCTCAGTTGGGGAGGATCGATGCGTGACGACTCGAATATAACGTACTCCTTTAGTTACCTTTCTGATGTATCATGTCTATGACTCGTGACATGTTAGTCTCCTTAGGGTTAAGAAGTATTGCTTTAGCCAAATGACTCACTTTGAACTCTTTTTCTTCACGCGTGTCCTGTTGCAGTAAAGGAAAACCGACATTGAATCAAAACAATTTGGTGTGACATACATGAAATGTACTGTGCGAGAAGGGATATGCGTCTTTCGAGCGTTCTATTACGAATACCGTTCTCTGATTGGCTACGCTACTTACTACCTATTCTATTGAAGATAGTGAATAGCCTCGCAGTATGTAGTTGTTAAAAAAATGGCGGCCACTTTTCGAAGTGCCTGTGAAGAGGATTTAGATAAAGTTTAGAACGACTAGAACTTCTAAAAGAGAGTACCATCCCGTGAAATTTACACATTTAACTCCTGCGAGCACTGAGTGTTGAGGTGTTTAAGGCCAGTCTCGCCTCTTTTCTTTATCTAAATAGTGATTTAGTTACATTTATTTCCTTTTTTTTCAATCTCTTTTACATCTGAAGTGATGGGTAAATCTCTTTGTAGATTACATATATAGATGTAGATACAGAACACAATAAGATTATTTGCTCTCGATTTCTATGCGTGATAGTTGCTTTGGGTTGCTTTTAATTGATAGGAAAGAACAAGAAATGCCACCAAAAAGCACAGAAGACAGTTCTGTTATGTGATCAAGATTTTTGGTGGCTTCCCAGAAATCATGAAATCGTGGCTCTATTTTCATCATCACACTATCTTAAACCTCGATCTGCTGAGTAATCCTAGTTCCAGCTGAAACTATTAAATCATTCGCAATTTACCTCACATACATGTTGGATTATTTTCATTNTGTGTTTTTGACGGAATGGCTTTGAACTTTCAACTTGTTGTTGTTATCTGTATAAACAGGAAATACGTATTCGTATTTATGTGTTTTTGACGGAATGGCTTTGAACTTTCAACTTGTTGTTGTTATCTGTATAACCAGGAAATACGTATTCGTATTTATGTGTTTTTGACGGAATGGCTTTGAATTTTCAACTTGTTGTTGTTATCTGTATAACCAGGAAATACGTATTCTACCAATCAATGGCAGAGGCAAATTTTGATCATAAAGAGCTTGAGAGCATCGGAAATGCCCCACCCTGGTGAGCACACTTTTTTCGGCCTTGGCAGACGAAAGCAAAAGGTCACCTTTAGTTCCACTTTTCTTTCGAGGTACATGCTTGCAAGCATTTTCAGAACGACGAACAATATCTCGAAGCCAGGGCTTTTTCTTGGGCGCAAAATCGACAAAATAGAGGGAATTTTCACTGTAAATCTCATGCAACATTATTCCTACTTGAGAAGACACTAGTATTTGTTGCCATTATTGGTTTATGTGCTACAGTCTTCGACAATAAGAAACAATCATGAACAACCCGATCAATACACTTTTAAATTCACTGACCTTTCGCGTATTACTGTGGCGAAGGTGACGTTTAAGTAATTATAGGCGTTAGCTTTTTAATAAAACTGAATCCCATTGTGAATTGAGAAGGAGAATTGGGCATGGTCAGAAAGGTGTTTTTAAATTTCAGTGAAGTTGTTTTTCAAAAGCGAAACAAAAAACATATAGAGATAGGCCATTTCCAAACTGACTTTTGCCGCCTTATATTAGTTTAGCGAAATGTGTTTGATGTAATATTAAAGCTAATCTGTAAATGAGGCTCGCTTTTACAACACGCCTGTCTTCTTACTAACAATAAAGGCCGATATAAGAGACACTATGTCAGATGAAATTTTTATACGCAAGGTCACCAAAGCGCACTGTTACTGACTATACGAGTCTGTATTTGATCTGAAATATTCAGTCGTCTGATAAGCTTTCTCAAAATCTGTATGATAAGGCCCTACAGTGACTTAATCATAACCCCGATTCATTAATAAACAACTAGGAATTGAGAGAGGTACACAGGGATGGCGGGGCCCGGGGTGTTGGGGGCTTTAACCCCTCCCCACCCACCACCACCACCACCACCACGATCACCACCTTCTACTTTTTACCAGGATGACATTTTATTTTGTTTTATTATGAAGTAGGTAAGGAGAATTTGAGAAGAATTTAAAAAAAGCGAGAAAGTCAGGTTCATCAAAGAAGTTGGATTACATGTGCTGTTAACCAGAGACCGGTACGAGGGAATCGCACAGTGCATGCACCTGTACCAAAATATTTATGCCAGTGAAATGATTACGGTTAGGCTCGCCGGTCTGTGCTACAACTTCATTACTGCACTATTATCGCAGGAGTAACGCGTTTCAAAGCCCGTTCCGTAAATAATTTCATGATATATTGGATTCTTATCATTGGTGTAACGCATCTTCCGTGTTAACACTTGTTGTGGCTACAAAGCTCTCCTATTGGCTCAGAAAAATTCTCGTGGAAGTGCGATAACCAATCAGCGCAAAGACCCGTTGTTATTTCGTCCAATCAGGAGAGGTTAATGAGATTTGCACGCGCTCTCTATGACAGCAGGTTGTATGCTTCAAGTTTGATTTCTTGTCCGGTGATTATATCGGTTTTGTTCTCTTTTCTCTTTCACTATAGTTCGGTCATCACTAGAACACCACTGAAATTTATTTTGAGTGTAGTAACTAACACCAAACTTAAAAAGAATCACCGAGCCCTGGTTAATTTATTAAACATTTATTTAAGATTTGAGTAAACATCAATACATGTATGTTTTCCACGGAAAATGAGCTCTTTTACCCGAATTAAATTCAAAAGGCAATCCGATTTTCACGTGCAAGACTTGCCTGGCTCCAACTGAATCATTTCCGATTGTTAGTTCGAAGATTTGCCAAGTTTCAACTGAAACACATCTAGAATTATTATATCTTCACAGTTTCTTGTTGAAAATCGACGTCTTTTCATGAAGCATTTCTTCGCCGAATTTCTTTGACAAAACTCTTGCCTTCCTTCGCTCGGCTTGTGCTGTGTCATTCGCCTCGACGACTCCAATTCGACGTTTCATCTGAACTCCTTTTTCGCCTTCTGTATTAGAGACATTATCCACTGGACGGCTTGAGTGTTGTTCCTTTTCTTTAGCTCTTCCCTCACTGTTGTTTGTGGAGTCTACATTTTCAGGAATCTGAATCTGAATGTTCTCAAGACCTAAAACATGCTGATTCTTCGAAGGGCTTGTTTTTGACACGTTGCCTCGTTCCGTTGCCAAATCTTCACTTATGGCCATGCTAAGACTCTGAGTTGACTCAGCCATTGCACTCGAGCACAAATGTTTGAATTCGTCCGAGCAAAATTTATGTCTCGTTGAAAATGCGGACCGTTGTGTGAATGTGTTTTCGATCCGAGGCTTTTATAACGTTTAGCTTGTTATTGTTATTGAAACAGGAAATACGTATCCAACCAATCAGTGGCAGTAGTAGGTAAAGAACATGAAAGAGCGTGGGAGGAACCACACCCTTATGAGGACATTTGTCGGCCCTAGCACACGAAAACAAAGTCTTTCAGTTCCGCTACTTTCTTATTTAGTTAGGCAATCAATGGCTTGATCGACTTTAAAACTACTATTTCTCGCTCTGGGTATTATTGGTTTAACTGCTACAATCGTCCATAAGAACTAGCAACCATAAAGGGTTACGTGTACTGGACAACCCAATCTATACACTTTCAATTTTTTATGTTTCGTGCATTACTGTGAAGGTGCGGTCTTTTTAGGAACTGAATCTCATTATGAAGTGAGAAGGATCATTAGGCGTGGCCAGAAAGGTGTTAGTTTTAGCTTGCGGCTTCTTAAGTTTTGCCGGGATAACGCCATTTTGACGTCAGTCAGGATTAAGTGAACGCCTGAACACAAGGCCACCAAACAAACAGATGTTGGGAAGTGAACAGATACGCTCCGGCCAAAACAATAAGGGGAGTTTAATTAAGCAACAAGGATCCTAGCGGTAAGGACAACGTCGATTAAAAACGACTCTGTATTCAACCTACGAATCTCTTAAGAATTTAGGTTCATTCACTTTGTATTTCCTAAACAAAATATGTAATACAGCGTCAAAATTCGAAAAGAAATTTAAAAATATGGCCGTCGTATTCCACGTTCTCTAGAAAACGTTGAATGTGGTCATTTCACGTTTTTGTTTTGTAAAGAACGGCAAAGGAATGAATACAGAATTATAACGAACGCGCGCACAGTCATTGTACTCGTCGTCGTTTCCGTAGTGGTTTGCTTATTTTAAACTTCTTAAAACCGAATGAAAGGCAAAAGAATGAACGGCCAAACGAGCACAAATCAAACGAAAGCCATGCCAAACAAAAAGGAGGCTAAGAGTGCAGAAAACATCTGTGCTATGAAACGTCTTTTGAAAATCAAAACATATAAAATGACTTTTCACCACATTTCCCGCCATTTCGTCTCAGGTAATTTCCAGAAAGTCGATTGGGTTGTCCTCGCATCGCGTGAATAACATCCTCGGAAGAACTGGGTACCATGTCTAAAAATAACTTAAGAGGGATTACCTTGGCCTATATGGGGGATTCACTCTCTTACCTTGATCTTCTCTTGCTCCCGGTCGATATTTTTTAAGACCATTAATGAGATGCATCGTATACGGACCGAAAACGGCCATCTGTACAAACCTTTGCCTAGTTCCTAAACGGCTTTCTCCAGGGCCTTCTCCGTCAATGGACCTTTTCGGTGATACGGCGGACATTTTGAATTCTTATTGTTTCAAATAGCTATTATGGGATGCTTAGGGGGCAAATACATACTAATTTGCCCTCTGAGCATTCCATAATAGCTATTTGAAACAACAGAATTCAAAATGGCCGCCGTATCACCGAAAAGGTCCCATCGGTGACCTATCCGAGATAAGCGACCCGAAAACGACTGACCGACGCGAAATATCGAGGCCTAGGAACTAGCCAGTACAAACCGGACGGTTCAACAAACACGAAATGAAATTTGCAGACCACATGCAGATCGAAAGCAGTGTTTTACGGTCTGTCAAACTTTACGGATCGAAAAATTGCTTTCTCGAGTCGCATCTGTTTGTGTATCTTGGACATGAGGCCTACACTGACCGAAGGCCTACCCGCATCAACTACTAGCC